TAATTCTATGTCTTGTGAAAGTTTAAAAATCTTGCTAACTTTAGTTTTAAATTTTAAACTCAGAAAACTGTTACCCTGTATTTTTCTTTTATCTTGTTAGTGTGTTTGTTTTTATGTTGAGATTGGAAAACAAAGTTAGTGTGTTAGTTTGTTTTTATGTTTATACCCACTAGTTAGAAGTTTATTGAATCTCTACATGTTGAATTGAAATGAAAATGATAAAAAATTGATCCAAAATTAATTTTACTCATGTTTTTAATTTTTATACTTGTAGAGTTAGGGTATAAAAATTCTTGTAAGTATGTTATTTCAAATTTGCATGCCTATTTATTTATATTTGCTACTAAAATGTTTAATCTTGTTAAAAATTTAAGTTTGGGGGTTGAAAAATATTTTCAAAACTTGAATTTTATTTGTCCGCAAATGTGCTACAAGTGAATTTGATTTGAAAAGAAAATTGATCACGTATATGAAGTTATATTAGGGAAGTAAAATTTGATTTTGGAAATGATTTTGAGTAATGAAGAAAAACATTCAGTTAAAATTTTTTTTAGTGTAGAAAATGTTAAATATAGTGTAACTATCTTTAGTAAGAGAAATTGTATTTTTGAAAAATTTAGATATTTTGACATTTATTTTTATTACTAAAATTTCTTTTGTTAAAAATAATTTTCAAAACTAGTATTATATTTTTAAGTAAAAGATTTATATCAGGACTTTGCTTTAGGAAAGGAGAAGTGGAATTTCAAAACTGTGGAATTCAAAACTATTAAAGTCCTATCCAGATATAGTAATCCTTGCTTGAAAAAGAAAAGAAAAAGAAAAGAAAAAGAAAATAAAGCAAAAAAAAAAAGTAAAGGAGGAGAAGCTTGAGGATTAGTGTCTAATCAAAACATGGTTCCACATTTGAACTTTTTAAAGTATAAGACTTGAGAAATTCTTAAACTTAGGGATATAATATGGTAAGTAAAATTATTTTTAATAAAAATTTTAGGTAGCGATATAAAAAAGATTAAATTCTAAATTTGGAAAATCTACAAAATTTCTGAATTATATAGAAACTCATATTTTCATATTTCTTAACATTAAAAATTTCTAAACTTTAAGTTGGTCTTATTTACTAAATATTTGTTCTAAATTGGACTACTATACTTCTAAATCTAAATTTTAATAGCTCCTAAAGAAACTCATATACATATCATACTTATTTGGTTTTTAAAGATTGAAGTGTCACTTGAGGACAAGTAAAATTTTAAGATTGGGGGATTTTCATACACCTAAAATATATTGTGTTTTTAGACACATTTTTATACCTATTTTTGAGATATTATGCTTTAATGGAAGGTATTTGTGTGTTTTCTTTCAGGTATAAGTAAAAAAGGTAAAAAATGCTAAAATGAGTGAAAAAGGATCAAATTTGGAGCAAAAATGTGAAAATGGTGTAAAAGTGTTTTGGCGCCTAAGTGTCAGATCCGACACTTAAGTTCCACTGAAACAGAGAAGGCTGCACCTAAATGCCAGAGATCCCGCGCTTAAGCGTCAGAGGCTGTTATGTGACGGTTTACTTCATTTTATTGAATTTTAAAGGGACATTTAGGCACTTATTGCCTAAAGAGGGTGGTTATGTCCACTATAAATGAAAATATGGTTAGAAACTTATGAAAGGAGGCATCCTTTGGAGAATACATCGAATTGAGACATATTTTGAAGAGTTATCAAGGCACCTCTTGGAGATTTATAAAAGAAGAAAGTTGAAACTTTTTGAAGTGTGCGTGAAAGTTTTAGAAGTGTTGGATAGGGGGAGTTTTAAGAGATAGTTTTGGAGAGATTTTTAGGCACCACAAATTTATTTTATCCTTTTTGTTTTTAATTTTATTGTGAGAGTCAAGAGTGTTGTAAAAGAGAAGAGATTCAAAGGAACTTCAAGAGTTTGGTGGAGGATTTGAGATAAGTTTTTATCTTTTGTTTTGAACTACTTTTAGTTTTAATCGAGACTTCTTGTTGGTTTGAACTTTTAAACTAAAGTAAAACTAAAGTATGATTTTGTTTTCTCTATAGATTCTGAGTAGTTTTCTTTATCTTTCTCCTTAAAATGATAAGTAATTAAAAGTTTTGGATGGAAGTTGTGGACACTATTAATCTTTAATGTTGGAAGAAGTTGTGATGATTTAAATTCATGTACTTCATTTACTTCTTAATTTGGCCTATCCAGGAGTTAAAATTTATTGTGATAATATGTAAGAAGCGGGCTGGTATTGCCTCAGTCAACAATTGAAAAGAATCACATGAGGTTGTATAAATTAAAATGTAATTTATATGATTGAGTGCAAATAAATATGGAAATAAACTTTGAATGGTGTAGAGTTATAGGACTTTAATGTGACAGGTTAAAGCCCCCAACTTGGTTTATTATTTTAGGTTCTGATACGAGATATTAGCTCTAGGTGGAGGGAATCGAGGGAACTCTAGAGTGAGAGCTGGTATCTTCCCTACCTAGCCGGTCTTCAGAACAATTCAAACTTTAAATTAGTCAATGTTCTTTATAGAATCTCTAGTAAGGGTAAAGAATATTATTACTGATTGAATTTTATTTATAGAAACTCTCCATTTGGCACAACACAATTTGCGTACTACCACAACAGAATTCTTATACTTATTACTGATTTTTGATAAGGAGAAAAATATTTTCATATCAAGTATTTTTCTTTTACATAAATATAAGTTATCTTTAGAAGTTTTATTGTTTTGTCAAAACTTCAAAAATACCAAAAAGAATTGAATTTTACTTATTGAGAAAATATCTATAGTTTAAGTAATTGTGTTTTTAAAATAAAAAGTTTGTGCATATTGCATATTTTTCCTGTGGGTTCGATATTCAGGTCTTAATCAAAAAGTCTTATATTACTTGATAACGATACTATACTCGCGTAGTATCCCAATATATATATAAATTAAAAAGTTAAATTCTTATTTTCTCCAGGATTAAGTTTTTGGTTCTGTTGCAAAGTAAGATTACATAAGTGAAAAAGATCATTATCATTGTTATACTGTTGCATATAGACAGTCGGGATGACCCACAAACTATATGAGATCTAACATCTTAAGAAGATTCAACATTAGTATTTTGTCATAAGAGAAATTCACTCACCTAAACTTCTAAAATGGCACTAAGTGCCTTCGGCCTTGAGGGCATTCATACCATCTTTAGGGGGGGCATGGCTTTTGAGAACACCTTCTTAACCAATTACAAAACACTTCTTATTGCATGATCAAAAAATTATATCAGTCAAATATTGAGTGCATGTTTGAGAAAAACTTTTCTTAAAAGAAAATAGACTAAACATTTTGGGGCTGTTCTAGATTAGAATAATTATTTATTTATTTATTTTATTATTTTAGTTTATATTTTGATAAGAAATAAATTACATTATTTTACTTATTTTTATAATGATGGCTGCAATTGCCAACAAGATAACGGAGATGGTCGATTACACAACGATAATAGTGATAATGATGACTTTTGTTGGCGGTCGAGGGTTAAATGCTAATCTGCTAATGATTTTGAGCATATTTAAAAATAACAATCACTAACAAATATATTTTATTTCAAAGTAAAACATAACAAAACAAAGCAAAAAAATAAAAATAAATAAAAGTGATCCAAAGCGGGCTGTCAAAGAAGCTCATTGTTCGCAAACAGCTCGTGTTCGGCTTGTTCGTTAAGTGAACAAGTTTTTAATGCTCGAATTATAAACGAGCCGAATACGAACAACTCTTTGTTCGCTCGTATTCAGCTCATTTTAGCTCGAAATAAAAAATATATATATATAATTATATATCTAATAATATTATATATATATATATATATATATATATATAAGTTTAAAACATAATTGTTCGTGTGGTAATGTGGTTATGTGTCTTCTTTAGTATACATTTGGTCCTGGTTCAAATTTAACATTCTACATCTATTTTTTCAGTTTAATTTTATCGAGCTAATTTCGAGCTGAACACGAACACAAATATTTAAATCGAGTCAAACAAAAACATACTGTTAACGAGCCGGTTTCGAACATGAGCCGATTTCGAATATGAACAATTTTGAATGAGCCGAATACGAGCCAAGCCTGAGCTCACTAAAGCTCGGCTCATTTACAACCCTATCCAAAACAACACCTTTTGCGTGTTTTAACTATTTTTTGTTTTATTTTTACAAAAAAAGATCAAGTTATTTTGAAAAATAACTATCATCATTTCAATATTATTTTGAGTGCCTTTACAAACAAATTAACTTATTTTTAGAAATAAAATAAAAATACACCAACACTGCACCAAATAAGCATATTTTTAAAAATAATAAAATAAATAAATAAATATAATCTTAAACATGCCCTAAACAAGTTTTATAAAATATTACTAACAAAAATATCCCAAATAAACTTTTAAGAATCTTTGTTTGCTATGTTCTTATATAGGTGTTATATAAATTTTCAAATTAGTCTTCAACTCGCCGAAACCTTTTCTAGCTGAGCACTACATGTAAAATCTTCATCCTAGAGAGGAAAACTATTGCATGCGGATGAGATTCGTGTGGATTTAATGGTATTTTGATGATATTGTGGTGTAGACGACCTACCTTCATCACATGCATTAATACCTCATTGGAGAGCAAGGACTTCCACTAGCCATCAATTAACAAAATGGTGGCCAAATTTATTACATAAATAATTAAATACTATTAAAATAAAATAAACACATCATTTACAGGGCAAAAGAATTTAAAAGTAGAGCAAAATTACGCATTTAGAAAGAACTACTCGTTTTGGTGGGCAGAAAGCCGCAGACAAGATGAAGAAGATGTCTTTGGAGCTTCTGTATGACATCATTCCACCAATGGCCATTCCAGTTCCGGCAATTTGCACCGCAATATAACAATGGCACATTATGACTCACCAAAAACAACTCATTTCTCTTCAATATTTATGGAAAAAAAATACAAATTTTCAAAGTGCTCCACTTCTCCGCTGAAGCATGATTGATAGAAAATGAACACTCTGAAAACTGACAACTTTATCATTTTCTATTTACACATACATCTAAAAACATTAAGAAAAAAAGGGTGGTGGGAACAGAAATAATTAAGTGCTTCTTTATATACTGGGATGATTGATAAAATCACAATGTCCTGCAAACAACGCATACCTACGAAAAACCATTCTTCTAAACTTGACCAGAACCCATCCGCTCCTCGGAATTTTATGCGGCTAACAAAGCCAAACGAATCAGGAAGACCAATCAGAGAAAAAATTTTAAAAAAAAAACGATTTTTATAACGCAATAAAAGAATTTGCAGATAAAGAGGAAAGCTTTCGAGCAAAGCAATAATCACAACTCCACTTTCGCCACTCAGCTGGAGCTACTGCTGCCACCCCTTCCCTTATTGGTCAGGAAAGATCCAGATGGAGGAGCGTAGTATTCTAGGTACCATTTCACGAACCTTTTCAGCCCCGTCTGTAGATTGGTGGTGGGATGGTAGCCAAGTTCCTTTTTGGCCAAATTAATGTTGGCATGGGTGAAGAGCACGTCTCCATTCCTTGGCATCTTAACAAACTTGCGCCTTGCCTTCACCTTCAGATGGCGCTCAAGGATGGAGACGAGCTCAACAACAGGTACGGGGGAGGTGTTGCCGAGGTTGAAGATACGGAGCTGGGCAGGTCTTTGCTTCATCCCGCCGCTGCCCGTACTCTTTTGTGCTGTGTCCAGAGACGCAATGGAGCCCTGTACAATGTCGTCAATATAAGTGAAATCTCGAGCAACGGTGGAGTCATCGGGACCTTGAAAGATAGTGACGGTTTTGCCTGCAAGAATGTTTCTTGTGAAAAAGAAGCAGGCCATGTCCGGCCGGCCCCAAGGACCGTATACGGTAAAGAACCGGAGGCCGGTGATGGAGAGACCATAAATGTGGTTGTACACGTGAGCAATCTCCTCATCGGCTTTCTTTGTTGCGGCGTAAAGGGAGGCAGGGCGGTCGGTGAGATGGGACTCCGAGAAAGGAACTTGGGTGTTGAGGCCGTACACGGAAGAGGAAGAAGCCCAGACAATGGCCGGCTGGGGGTTAGCAGAGCGCGCGGCTTCGAGAATGGAGACGAAACCGGCGACGTTGCTGTGGATGTACGACCCGGGATTCTTCATCGCATAGCGGACGCCGGCCTGGGCGGCGAGATGGAGGATGTGAGTGAAAGCGACGAGGTCGAAGAGCTTGCGGAGAAGAGGGTGGTCGTTGATGTCGCCCTCGACGACGAAGACGCCGGAGCGGGAAAGAAGAGCCTGACGGGCGCGCTTCAGGGAGGGGTCGTAGTAGTCGTTGAAGTTATCAAGGCCGACCACGCCGTCGCCGCGGCGCTTGAGTGCGTTGCTTGCATGGGAGCCGATGAAACCAGCGGCGCCGGTGACGAGAACGGAAATGCCGAATGGGCGGCGCCGGATGCGCGCGGAGGCGAGCACGCGTTTCTCCCATTTGGGATCACCCCAGGCGGGGGAGGAGGAGGTGCGGAGGGAGCGGCGTTCAGTCGCGGAGTAGGAATACGACGAAGAGGAGGAAGACGAAGAGAAATTCGGGAAAGCAATGAAGATAAGCAGGAGAACGGTGGCAGCAACGACGCTCCAGAACAGAAACTTGTGGAGAGAGGAGCAGTACCATCGAAAGAGGAGGAGGAGGCGCAAATGATGGTGGTGAGGTTTCTCCGACTTGAACTTTCCGGGAGATGAGGGCAGACCGTCGTCCATGTAGGAAATGAATTTCTCAGCTCCGAATATCACAAGAAGCCAACAAGAAGAAATTGGAATGGAAGGAGAAAAGAGAAAAATAGAATTTGACTCTTCGCTCCTCGCGCGGATCCCTCTCTCCTTCCTTCCTTCCTCCTATTCGAAGCGACCGTTCTGCTCCCTCTTCCATGTCCACAAACTGTTCGATTTTATGCCTGTAAAAGGATGGGGAAAGTAATAACGACCGTCCATCTATTCTGGGATGGGTAAGACCGAGCGGTTAAGGAGCTGTTGATGGTGAAAAATTATTGTTTAGGGTATCCCATCAACACCGTCAAAAGCAGGCCTCACTTTAATAAAAAAAAACACAAAAAGATATATTTTTAAGACACCGCACATAATTTTACGTGCGATGCGAAGGCAATAAGCGCTCCTTGATATTTATAATTTTAGGCTTGGTTAGTCAAAGAGAGAAAAGAAGGGAGATGAAATGGAGGGTGGGAATGATACGATAAAAGTGATCGGGAGGGTAGTTGCTTGTCACAGACAAATAGTCCCACATTGGCTAGGTGTAGGGCCGAAAAGCCTAGGTGTAGGGCCGAAAAGCAAGGCCGAAAAGCAATATTTAAGTCATGGGCTACCCACCACCCATAAGGGCTTTTTTGGGAGGTGACAAGTGGTACCAGAGCAGACTACTGCCTACAGGTGTGTGGACTCTCTATGGTCCAGTGGGACCCTTGGTAGAGTCAATCCGTGACGAGGGCGTCACGTGTGGAGGTGGAGGAGAATGTCACAGACAAATAGTTCCACATCAGCTAAGTGTAGGGCCGAAAAGCAGTATTTAAGTCATGGGCTACCCACTACCCATAAAGGCTCTTTTGGGAGGTGACATGCTGCTCGTCTAACTGTTTATAAGTTGAATGCTTTTTATATTTGAGATGAATAATTTACACATGATTTCAACACTTCCTCATATTTAAAATAATAATAATAATACTATAAGTTAAAGTTTAAATAAATATCTATTTCACAGCATAAGAAATATCATTATCGTTAGCTTTTAGAAATGAATTATACCTTCTCATACATAGGTTTATACCATCAAAGTGTTATAAATATCACATTTTGGGTGTTAGATTTGTAAATAAAAAAAAATATTTGTGATGTATGTTTGTAAATTACTGTAATATAAATTGAATCATATTTTGATGGTTTTAAAGTAATTTATTGTCCTGCATGAACGTTGAACACCGTCATGTAAAGTAGAAATCATAACGTCCTTTAATTTGAAGAATCCAACATACAATCAAACAAAATCATAAAGTGAAAAAGCCATCTCAATTGTTTACTAACAAGAAACAAACGATTCTTTTGGCCTACAATTTTTTGAACTTTAGATATAGGATTCATTTGATTAGGCACAGGTCTCCATGAATTTTTTATAAGATAAATTCTAGAGTTAAATTTAAAATTATTTCAGCACCAATTTTTAGAGAGGTATCGTCAAATTGAAAGCATTGAAAATACAAATCCAACAACACTGAAATTGATTTGATCCGAGTCAATTGAGTCTAATTTAAGCATTTAAAAGAATAGTCAAGAGTTTCAATATAGTAGATGGAATGCCAAATGCTTTATGAATTTGACATGTATATAGTTGAATTGATCAGCATATTGAGAGGAATACAAAAGCCCTTTGTCATTCAATTTTGAGGACATTAAGACACTTAAATGATAAAAGGATAACTCAAGCTCAAAAGAATTGACACAGATGGTCAGATGGGTTATTTTATGATTTTGGCCAAATTTACCTTAATGCTTCTCTCAACATTTATAAATAGATTCACATTTTCTATATGGAGGAGAAAAATTAGCTCTTGGTTAAATATAACTCGTGAAAGAGCTTGACGTTAACGACCAATAACATATGTCAACTACCACTAGTGGTTGTTATATCTCAATTACTATCATACGACTATTGTTTTCTTACCACTAGCTTAAGGATTTTGTTGTATAGTTAATGCTTTAATGTCCTCTTCAGTTAAGCAAAAGAGTGATGGTGGGTTTTTTATTTTTTGTTGGTAGCCACCATAGACCTTGAAAACTTTATATCTAAATGATCGGATATGACATTCGAAGAATAATATACCATCCCAAACAATTTAAATACTATCATGAAAAATCTTTGTGATTTATGGATCTGTGGAACTAGGATGCTTCCCTTACCTTACGGGTGTAAGATAAGGTTTATTTTATTCAGGTGTCACGTATCCCTATGAATGGTCTCTCTCATAGTTAATTACATCTCAAGAATTACCCCTGAGAGCAATCTTTATTTTCGTTATGCCTTATATTTCTCGAATTCATTATGAATGTCTATAGACTGAAAGGGTTTGAAGACTTTGATAGAAGAGAAATTTTTGGACAAAGGTTAACTTCACTTGAGTTTTAAAAAAGGTTTACCCTTAAGGTTAAGCCCAACTGTTGACAATTAGAGTGATCATATAAGGATCAAGTATGACAAATAAATTTGGTTATGGATTAGATTTAATAATAATGGATTTGAATGGATTGGGTCATAATAGGATTTTGATAGGATTGGGTTAAGCTTGATAGGATTGGGTTAAATTTGATAGGATTTGGTTGAGTTTGATAGGATTGGATTAAATTGATAGGATTAGATATAGTTTGAATTTAATAAAGTTAAATTGATATAAGCATATCCTAGTCTAAAGGGTAGAAAAGGGTAATAGATTTCTAGATGGAGGTGAAGCCCTAACTTAAACAAGTCTAAATAGGAGGTTGTTGGTGGAATAACCTAAATTTAGAGGAACACCCCAGTCAAGATGCACTACTTTCCATCATCTTGAGTACATTGGTAACCTCAGATTATTAAGCAATAAAATAATAGGAATTCTCTCTTAGTGTCATGTCAATTACTTAAGGTAGTCCTTACTTGCAATAAAATGACTTTAAGTATCTTTGTCCATATCATGGGCTACTTCATTCTAGGATACAATTATAGTATGAGGGGGTCGGTTAAATTGTTTTGTATGTCCTAATCCTTAAATATTTTAATTGAGTACCTAGTAAACTAACCTAGAGATTCTAGACTGTACTAATTTAGGGTGTGTATGGTCCTAGATTTTCGTCTAGCTTAGCTATCCTAGGTTCACAACTTGGAGCTATCCTAGGGTGTGGTTAAAAGAAAAAATAGAGTTACTCACTTTAAGGTTTTAAGGGATTTGCTAATTATTAGGTGTTTTGTTTTCTCCTAATTTTATCAGTAAAGGAGACAAATCATGGTTTTTCTAAGTTTTGTTTGATTGTTTTTCTATTCTAAGTGTAGTTTTGGTTAAATTGTATATCGCTATATTTTTTTGTTCTCGTCTCTAAGTTTATTTTCTCCCTAAGGTTTTGATTCTGGTCGAGATAGTATATTCTAAGTAAATAAGATTAAATCTCTTAAATTAAAGTCTTCATATTTAAGATTTATTTATATTCTTATTTAGATAATGAAAATATATTTTTCAGTCAAAACTTGAATTTTCTAAAGTAATTTAATCATTCAAATGTTTGTGAGATACAAGCTTATCTTCTACATGAATTATTTAAATTAAGATGACCCAAGACATAAATACTCAAAAGTCTAAGGGTACAAAATCATACGTTTCTGGGAAAAAATGTATTCATTTTTCTAGTCATATATTATGGTGAATAAGTCTTACATAGGCTAAGCAAGTGACAAAGAGCCTGACAAGCTTATATATATGTTTTTAATCCCTATTATCCTTTCTCCAGGTGCACTCGCACCCTGGGGTCTTATGCAAGTGTATGTGGCATATCAGTAATATTGGGTTTTGAGTCTGGAATGTTGATCCCAAAAGGAATGAGGGAATCAGACTTAAGAGAAGTTCTAGTCTACTAGGTTTAGTTCTTAGCATGAAATTTAGATTAGGGTAATGCTCTACAAACTAATACTATGGTATTGCAATATGTTTTAAGAGTTACCTTTCCTAACAATGATATAAGTGGAGTGTAAGAAATGTAAACTGTCAATTTTAAATCTGGTTAGTGACAAATAAGAGCAACTCTCTTCTTTGCCCTCTCTCGAGTACATAAAAAAGTTTGATTAAATTAGCTTTAATTCCTTAAATCCCAACTTTAACCCATGAAAGACTTTTGTCCTAATATTTGCATCCCACTACAAAGTACTTGCACCATACCCTATAGATCAATGTGAATAACCTAGTTGTTTTACCATATCTCTCCTGAGTCATTATAAAACACAACACATTTTAACAATTCACTTGGCCAAAATAAAAAGTAAATGTAGAATCAAAGCTTACTTGTCACATCATGAACTTAAAAATAATTTTAAATTCATTTTGCACTTCTACCCATCTTACTTAATCAGCAGAAGTAAAAGTTAAAAAGAACTACGCATAAAGCATGTAGAACACACCACAAAGCATCATTAGAAACAAGAAATTTCACAAAATAATCGTGTTTACAGAAATGCAATAAGAAAAATACACAATACCTAGCTTTATCTCCATTAAAAAACTCTGAGAATGCTCCCCCAACAATCTCCTGATCCCTTTTTGCTCTCCAGAATACTCTTTTCATAACTCAAATTCCTCACCAAAACACCAAGAAAAACTTATCTTACTCAATCCTCTAGCAAACCTTGTCACTTCTTTTCTAGATACCTCCAATAGGATGTATAAACTCCTTATTAAAGCTCCTTGTCTGGTTGAGTAACTCCGCACGAACTAGGGTAGAACTATCAAAAACTACCTCCAGCAGTTGTTGGCGCCTAGGAATCAGAGATCTGGCGCCTAAGCGTTAAGCTCTCTATTTGCAGAAATCAATAGGAGCAACTTGGCGCCCATGGGTTTGGCGCTTAGGAGCTAGTAAGGTTGTGCCTTATATCCCAATGACTGGCACTAAGACACAAGTTTCTGGGGTTGGTAGGGTAAAGACTGAAACCCAAGGGTCTAGTGCTTAGGCGCTAGTCTCATGTGAGCTCCTTTGCTCCAAGTCTCTTCCACTTTGCTCCATGTCTCTTCCACTTTGCTCCACTTTTAATATCTGTTATACCTGAAAGAAAAGCATAAAAGTACATTTCTTTAAAGTGTAATTTCATCCATAAAAGTAAAAAAAATGTAGGGTATAAAAGATTCTTTTCTACACATCAAAATCCTCCAAAATTAAAGATTAGCCATCCTCACGTAACACCAAAATTTAAATATCAAATTTGTTAATTTGAGGGAGTTGGTTTCATAGAAACTATCAATAACTATGCATCAAGAATTTCATTGTGTAAAGTAGGATAACTCTATTAAACAAGTCTAGCCTTATAGTATAAAAATCCTTGCATCCAACCAAGAATACATAATTTCCTATTTAATTCAAAAAGAAATGAACACTTGTTGAACATAATATCTTACATGGTAGAAAAATAGAATTTAAGCACTCTTCCTTTTAAAAAATAATGATTTACTCATACATCCTAGATATTAGTAAGCATAGGAGTGTATTGAAGTTTTAAATTTAAAAAGAATCTAGTGAAACTAATTTTTTATAAGGCTTCTCCTAAAGTTTCTCCTCACATTATGTATTCTTTTTAATCTTCTTTCTTGCGTTGGGATGTAAATTTAAATCCTTAGCATAAATTTATAAGGATTAATATATCTGGATAGGCCTTTTAATAGTTTTAAATTTCACTATCATCTCTCTAAAGTAATACACTCCACACTCTTACACTTTTAATTTATTTTCAAAAATTTAAAACTTATAAGTTCAAAATATAATTTTATGGAGGCTCAATTCTTATCAAGTTTATATTTAAATATACCTAAATCAATAAGTATATCAATCTTTCAAAAAAGAAATTGTTAATTCATTTTTCTACATGTTGAATTACAAATTAACTTTACACTCGTGTAGTCTCATTTACATAGAGTTTAAAATTAGTAAATAATATCTTCCCCCTCTTAATATTGTGAAAGTTTAAATTTTAATCCCAACATATCAAATCTACTAAAACATGACAATTCAGATTCAGGTTACCGAGGGTAAATAAATTTAAGCTTATAAAAGATTTATCTCCCACACCCCCCCCCGCCCAGCTCCAAGCACGATTTTTATCATATATAGCAAATAAAAAACATGAATATAAATGGGGAGAAAATAGTACAAAAATACTTTCTACCACATGTGTCTATCGTCAAGATTAATAGGTATAAATAGGAAAGAGCAAATATGTAGTAGCAAGTAAACCTAAACTAAACATGAATATAAATGAAACTACACCAGGAAATCTAGATAGTACAACAGGGAAATAACAACATGTTACACAATAATACAGAATAGTGATGCACAGGTGGAGCTAGTAGCACTAATAGTAAATATGCAGCTCAATTCCAATAAAAATAAATTCAGTATAAATAATTTTATCTTTTAAAATCTGTAAGCTACCAAACTCTTAATAATAACACAAGTATACGTATCACTCAAGTAATAAATGACTTTAATTCTCTAATGGAGTCCTAAGTATCGATCCCACAGGGAGTTGGAAATCCTTATGGTTATAAAAATTCTTATGTATTTATTACATATCTAACACCTAAACTTTACTTTTTATATTTATGCAGCCTAAAGTAAATTTAATGTGTGTTAAATGAAATACATTTAAAAGAACTAAGTTAACTAGACTAATTGCTAAACTTCAAAAATAAACTTATAAAGACTAAACAAAGTTTTGAAACGAAGAGTTCAAATTTAAGAAATCATCATTCTCCTTTACAATGAGTTTATAGAATGTGAAGAAATTAAAATAATTTAAAATACATATAAAATTGTATTGTGTCAAATAGAAACAATCATATTATTTACCATCTGAGAGTGCATAAAGAATATTGACTAATCCAGAGTTTGGTCCCTAAATTTATAGTTAGGTTAAGAGGATACTGACTTTCACTCCAGAGCTCTCACTTCTCCCTCGTCTTAGGGCTAACAATTTTGTTATAGTTTCCAAGCAACTGTACCAAATTGGAGATTTTAATTTGTCACATTAAAATCTCCAATTTTGAGCCCATCAAAGTATTTTTCCTATTTATTTGCATGCAACCCCATGAATTGTAGTCTCGCCCATAAAATTGAATGTGACTCTTACCTTGTTGTAGAAAGCATAGTCTTTTCGGATCGTATGTTTCTCAACAAATTTTAACATTTTAATTGCCCAGATTGAGAAGTAAATGAATATCAGAGTTCGAATCATCACAATTTATTAACATTTAAAATCTTACAAAACAAAAACTAATTCTTCACAAAACCATATCTCATTGTTAGGAGAAAGATAAAAGAAAACTACTCAGAATTCATGAGAAGGATACGACAAAACACAAATTTTATATATAAAAATAAGTTTACAAAACAATGAAAGAAAAGAACACAACTTATCTAATATTTATTCCCAAGCAAATCCCTAGAAGTTCCCTTTAAGCGTTTTCTCTCTTTACAATCACACTCAATTCTCTCTTATAATTATAATGAAGAAGAAATCCCTAACATTCTCTCTCCTCTTACAACCCTAGAAGAAAATTCTCTCTCCTCTCTCATGCCGAAACTTTTCTCTCTATCTCACGCCCTCGCTTCTTCTAAAGACTTCTCTCTTTTTAATTAGGGCCAGTTTTCTTTCAAAAGGAATTTAAAATTCCCTCCAATTTTTCCCCCAAAAGTCGCACCTTTTTGCACAAAGAGATAAGTCCCTTCATCCAAGAGACATATCTCTTCATTAATAAGTCTTCCAAAGTGTTTGGATGCATTGAACCACTCCATTGGACGTTTGAATTGCTAAGATCATCTTACCAATCAAACAATTGATTTAACATATCAACTATCAACTATGAATAAAGAAGTATTATTTCATACTACACCTAACTATGGGTCATCCATCATCTCCATCATGTAAATCTCACATCATTGAGCTATATAGACGGCCACCATATTGTATTAAAGCCATTTTGCATTCCTCTTTGGTACCCAACAAAGGAGAGATCATCTCAAACCCTATAAATGATATGATCTATTGCCCTTAAGGGAGATTTGATCAAAACTCTCTCATTTCTCCTAAACCAAAAGTGTGCATTAATCCTCTATACATTCTCTACAGCTTGCTAAGATTATGAAGCCATGAACAATTCAAAACTCAACACTAACCCTTTCTTATGCATTCATATATCTAACATCTAAATTTTATTGTTTACATTTACATTACCCACAAGTAATTCATATCACATTAAAAGTATCACAATTTTAATTTTAAAAAAGTATATGCATCTTTTCATGCATAGGTAAGATATCAAATATATAAACAAATTATACTTTAGATGTTTGATATATAAATACGTAAAAATTAACATGCCGCAAATCTTTTATATACCTTCATGGTGCATTTATCAGACGCCTTCACTTACGTGAAGCTTTCTTACCTATAACACCAACTCTCACTTGTAAATGTTTATTTAATCAAAGAAAACTCTTTTTTCTGTCAAATTCAAATGTCAAATGACTTAGATTTCATCTAATTATATTTATTTATATATAAAACTATAAAAACACTCTTACCCAAAACATAATAATATAAAATTTAATTTTCCATCGCGAGCCAACAAGTTTAGATCGCATAACATCTTCGGCTCAACTTTCTCTAAATAAATATAAGTATTCTCAAAAATTAAACGGCGTAAAAATTATCCCAAACAGCCCTTGAATTCTACCTAAAATTATATTAGCATAACTTTAACCCCAACCAATGATCCCAACAATAGCCAACTGTAGCCTTATTGACATTGTCATACGCAAAGCACTCCCTTACCGAAGGTACTGACATTAAAGGATCACATACTTGCAAGAAATCTCAAACAATCAATCAACATAATTTGATTAATTTATAATATTTAAGTATTTTTATTAACTTATTCTTCCTTTTATGACATGCTATTTTCAATTTTTTTAAAAAAAAATATCACATATCAATCCATATCTAAAAATGCTCAAATGTCTCCCATATTGGATAGAAACAAAGTAGAAAAATGTCAAAGACCGAATTCAAGTACTCACCCCACCCAGAAGAGAACGAAATATATATATATATATATAGCCATATGTACATCTAACCCAACATCTAAGATTTTAAAAATAAATGACAATCCAACAAAAATTGAGATTTATGTGTTAGATATGTAAATACATAAGAATTGAGTGGTACGTATGTAAAGCTTTCAAAATAAATATGAGACAATGCCTTATATGAAAACGCACACCACTAACCCTATCTAACATTTCTCCTATTACCTAATTTGTCAGATACATTTTTTGATATATATTTTTTTTTTAATTTATGGTAGATCGAAGATATATCCTTACAAATCAAATGTAAAGCGACTTCAAAGTTACCGAACCCTTTCTCTTAATTACACAATTTAACTATATCTACAAGAAGGTATTGAACCAATAATTTCATGTTAGTTAGATTTAGTATATTCAACAACGTTTGTTAGTGGCCAAGGTCTAGCTCAATATGGTTGATAGAGCTGATGGGTGGTTAGTATTGGATGGGAGAGTTCCATGTAGACAAACTCATTTTTAAAATTCTTATGTATTAACATATCTTAACACCCAAACTTTGATGTTATATTTAGAAATCACTAGTGTCATATAAACTGACCAAAGAAAAAGGTGTATTTCACTCTTAAAAAATATAGTGATTGTGATAGTTTCGATGTGATGTTAAGATTTGAGTGTTGTGCATGTAGATATGAACGTTTAGGTGTTGGATATGTAAATACATAAGAATTGTGTCATATATATGCAAACGGCCCAAATATAAATAGCAGAGCAGCACTAGAGAGAGAAAACTCACTTTTAAGAAAGAGAGAGAGCGCACTCGGTTAAGAAGAAAAAAAAAAAGAGTGAAGAAATTCATCCTCATTTCATCAAAACTTACATCATTCGAGCACGCTTGCAGTGTGAAACTGCGTCGCGAATACCTTTATTGGTGACAGAAAATGGTGCCGAAGCCGAAGGCAGGTAAGGCGATTTCTCAATGCGGGCATGGCGTTCATCACCATCCCAATACAAGATAATTCTGTTTGTGCAGGAGTGGGACCAAGTATCACCTAAAAATACAAGAACATGGAAAATGGAATAAAAAATTTGACAAATATTTAATGAAAAGACAGGCTCCGTAGAAAGTGAAGCAGAGTGAAAAAATGAAATAGAAGTACACATTTGATTATCAATTACCACCTATGGTTTGATATTTTCAACTTCTTTTTCAGCTCCAATCACTTTGCTTCTGTTATATTAGGTAGAATTTGTAACAAAGGGAAGTTATTATGTTAGGGGACATTTTGAAATCGTTGTTATTGAGGGTATTATTTTCATTTATTTCTTTATTATATCATTGTATATGCTTTTTTTATAAGTGCTATACATTTTTCATAACATGATATCTAAATCTTAATTTATTACCTTTCTTGATTGCGAAAAATTTTCAATCTGTAAGCACAACAAAATTTTGCGTAGGTAACAAAAATTTGGTTTGGTGAAAACAATATAACTTCAACAACAACAACAACAACAACAACAAAGCCTTAATCCCACTACGTGGGGTCGGCTACATGAATCCTTTTTCTTTTTCCATGAATCCTTTTTCTCCATTGCATCCTGTTTAGTGTCATATTTTCATTTAGTTCTAGTAAATTAAGATAATTTTTTATACAATAAGCCCAAGTCTTCTTAGGTTTACCTCTGCCTTTCTGAACACGAGTCGAATCGAAAACATCTACTCTCCTAATCGGATCATCAGATGAACGACATTTAATGTGACTAAAGCATTTTAGACGACTTTCTCTAATTTTGTCTGTCACAGGAGCTACACCAACCCTATCACGGATATATTCGCATTTTGTCTCTAAGTGTAAAGTCAC